GAATCACACCCAGAGAAGGAAGTAATGGTGCTAATTGCTACCAACTCTATTAAAACACAATTTACAATATAATGGCCCAATAAACTTAAGTGAATTTCTGGGATATATAAAGCCAAATAAAATAAAATCAATAAATAAAGATTAATTCAGCGCTATGACATATCACACTAAAAATATTCAAATTTAGATTCATTTGAATTTTGGATCCCAAAATCTATGAATACAAGACTTAAATAATTAAGGAAATGATTGTTCCCCAACTTCCTTTTATGTAAGCATTTTTCTTCCACTTCCCATTGCCATTGTATTAACAATTCATGCATTTCCCAAATGTGGGTCACAGCCAGCAACTCCGCGCGCCAACATTGGCACATGAAATTTACCTTTCATTCATATTAAATCGCCAACAACAAAATGCAACAGCAATAACATTAACAACACAACAACAAACAACAACCAACAACATTTCAACAACAACGAGAAAATGTAGTTAATAACAAATTTCCTCTTTCAAATGCTAAATTTGCAAAGCAATGCATGCAAAATCAAAAGAAAAGATCGAGAAAAAACTTTAAAAAAAAAATACAAACAAAAAACAATAAAAAAAATTAAATAAAAAGAGAAAAATTACTTTAGTACGGAAAGTAGGTGAAGGTAAGATGCCAGCGGTGATAGTTTCACTGTTTCGAGTGTGGGTCATTGTGCTGTGGCACAATCGTAAAATGTGAGGTCACTGACATTAGTTGAGGCTACAACTAAAGCTTGAGCCAGAGCCACAGTCACAGCTAGAGCCAGAGCCATAGCCACAACCAAAGTCAAAGCCACAGGCAGAGTCACAGTCAGAGTCAGAGCAATAAAAAAGTCATAATTTTCTTACAATATTTTTTTTATTTATTTTTCTCTCATTTAAAAAGTTTGCAGCAACTTTGCATCTGCGCTTTTCGTTGCCAATCTAACAACGTATTTGTATCTCAACAATTTATAGTCGAAGTATGAAATTTGTATCTGGAAATTTAGTATTGCATGCATGACATAATTTATGTCATTTAACGCATGCAAATTTCTTTTCTTTCTCTACTCTTCTTCCACATCTTCTTTACTGTAAGAAATGCTTTTCCCACAGCCAGCAAATCTAAATGCATTTACGCGCATTGGTCAAATTTGGCCCACTGTGCTTTCTACTTTAACAATTTCAGTTCAAAGAACTCTGAAGCGCAGAACTTTCTTTGCCAATCAAAATACTCGTAAATCTAATTAACATCTTGCTTATTGAATATAAAAGTAACCACATAGATGCGAGCTCGCATGCATACTCATAAAATGTAGAGAATGCTATGTTCATGGAAAGAAAAGTAAGTGCGTCCAAATGTTGAAGAGCAACTGTTAACAACGGGCAACTGGCAACTAGCAACTAGCAACTGGCTACTGGCAACGGCCAGTGAATAACAAAGAAAAAAAGTTGATTTCAATTATAATTTTGATTTCGTAGTTATCGTCACTTTCAGTATTCGTCATGCGTAAGAAGTCAGCAAGCATTTTTGTATAATTTTATTTTTTTACAATTTTTATTCATTTTTAATTGAATGCATAGAACGTAACTTTTGATAACCCACAAATCCCAATTTTTACTTAACGAAAAATTAATGAACACCAAAATCATTGCTAGACTTAGAATGAGGCCCAAAAATTGGAATAATTGACAAGTACTTGTAGTCAAGGGAGCATATAGGATAAAAGTTCCATGCAAAGTAGATCAATATAATGTCAGAAAAGGTTCATGAGTAATAATCACAAGGACTCCCCACCGTAAGACAGCAAAATGTCACAGATATAGAACACATGCATATTAAAGACAGTTGTGTACAATAAAAATAGACAAATGTGAGAACCTTTATTTTGATTAGTTATAAGCATAATGACATAATATCGAAACAGTTCATGAATAATAATCCCCTCCCCACAATATATGATGGACAAATCGCACAGATATAGAACACATGCATATTAAAGACAGTTGTGTACAGCAAAAATGGACAAATGTGAGGACCTTTCATTTGATTGGTTATCAGCATATCATAATTTAGAAATAGCCAATTGAGTAAAAGTCCTTTACCCTCATAAAACATGTGCACATTTAAGATAGTTATGTACAGTAAAAATAAATAACCTTGTTTCGATTGATTGCAGTGTCAAGTCAGCAGATATCTTTCTACTGACCACAATTAGTGATTTTTCATAAATTTACTATTACATTTTTTGCAAGAAACCTTCAGATATAAAAAGACATAATCTGAATTCATCCCGTTGAATTTAGATAATTTAACAGATCTTTCGTCCTTACCAATAAACAGTTTAATAAACTATAAAAAAATACTTCTCTAAAAATCTGTTTCTTCTAGAAACCAAAGTTGGATATTCACAGAGTAAGTATTTAACTGTTTCTTTTGAAACTTTCTTCCAAATTAAGTTCGTATATATTGATAGAATGATTAATAGAACAGAACTATATCGATTATATTAGTAGAATATTTTTTTTTTGCTTTTATAAAGGGTGAAACGTACTTGACTGTAAACGTAACTGGCAGCGATAGGTGATTTGATTTATATATATCTGTATTTTTTTATCCTTTTTTTTTTGAAACAATCAATCAAAAAAAGCAGGGCCTGTCTTCCATTAGGAGAAGAGGACTACAGTAATCAAAAATACATTCCTTATTAGTATAAGAGTATCTTATGTAGTGTTATGTTAGTTATGATTATTTAATATTAAAAATCATTGCATACATTAAAATATATATTTATTGAACATAGTATTAGAATATTGCTTTTTAATTTTAGAAATTGTCAGCGCTGGACATAGTTATTTTAATTAAACTTGTAACATATGCACATATGTTTTACAAACCTATGACCGTAAAGAGATATACCATAGGTATATTAAATTTTCAACAGACCCAGTCGTTGATTTCATAAACCTAAATATTAATTCAATTTCATACCAAGTGAAAATTGTATTATGTGCACGTTAGTACATAATTCAAATAATCACTGATAATTCTCATCTACTACAAAATAAATTACAGATATACCTGACAAAATATCTGTTGTTAGCGAGTGAAAATTAAATGATTTAATATTTTATATTTCAAAATATGCTATGATAATTGTTGGATTAATTCTTCTTCCGTTAAGATCCTTTTAACAGATTTAATCAATTGAAACTGAAACAAAAGTGGAACAGCATATACTATAGCATACAAATATCTAAATTTTCGGAATAGATTAAATTATTAATAAATGACAATACTTTTATTGTGTATTATTCTAAACATCCGACAACCTAGTAATTTCGCCCCTGTCTATGTATTCAACAACTTACCTTAGAACAAGAAACGATGTTGTTGAAAAAATTTAGATTTTTAGAGGTCCAATCAAATTGAAATGCGGGAGTAGAACGTCAAGAGGTACTTATTCATGCAATACGCGCCCATAATTGACCGAAAATGTTACGCCATTTTGATTACAAGCTGACCGACAGCAATTTTTTTATTGTGTTTATTTATTGTTTAAGTATAAAAACCCATTGAAGAATTTGAAGACATTTCTTTCGTTTCGTTTGTTAGTTAGTCAATAGCTTAAAGAAAGTGCAGACGTCAATGAAATAAGTTTTTTTTTGTGCTTAATTTTGAGTTTCTTGATTGTTTTTATATAATTCGATAATTTTGCCAATTTCTTCAATTATTACTTAATAATTGATTTGTTTACTTTGTGTATAATTTTTGCGATCACTGTGAGCTAGACGTACATTTAATCCAGTTACTCCGCCGCCACACGTTGGGGTGCCAATAAACATATGCTGGCTGCAGAATAGTATGTGGTACTTATATAAATATAATACAGAAGTAAACAATATTTTTGATGGATTTTCTCCCGAAAAGGCCCAGCTTTTCAATTCTGGACGAAGAGTGACACAAATATTTGGGAACACAGTGGATTGTTTAAGGTATATTATGTACCGTGATGTTAGAAACGATTATTGAACGATAAAATGATTGCATACGTTACAATATATATTTATTGAACATAGTATTAGAATATTCTAATTAATTTTAAAATTGTCAGCCTGGACATAGTTATTTTAATTAAATTGTAACATATCACATATGTTTTACAAATCTATCACCGTAAAGAGATACCATAGGTATACTAAATTTTCAACAGACCCAGTCGTTGATTTCATAAACCTAAATATTAATTCAATTTCATACCAAGTGAAAATTGTATTATGTGCACGTTAGTACATAATTCAAATAATCACTGATAATTCTCATCTACTACAAAATAAATTACAGATATACCTGACAAAATATCTGTTGTTAGCGAGTGAAAATTAAATGATTTAATATTTTATATTTCAAAATATGCTATGATAATTGTTGGATTAATTCTTCTTCCGTTAAGATCCTTTTAACAGATTTAATCAATTGAAACTGAAACAAAAGTGGAACAGCATATACTATAGCATACAAATATCTAAATTTTCGGAATTAGATTAAATTATTAATAAATGACAATACTTTTATTGTACGTATACTATTCTAAACATCCGACAACCTAGTAATTTCGCCCCTGTCTATGTATTCAACAACTTACCTTAGAACAAGAAACGATGTTGTTGAAAAAATTTAGATTTTTAGAGGTCCAATCAAATTGAAATGCGGGAGTAGAACGTCAAGAGGTACTTATTCATGCAATCAACGCGCCCATAATTGAAACCGAAAATGTTAAACGCCATTTTGATTACAAGCTGACCGACAGCAATTTTTTTATTGTGTTTATTTATTGTTTAAGTATAAAAACCCATTGAAGAATTTGAAGACATTTCTTTCGTTTCGTTTGTTAGTTAGTCAATAGCTTAAAGAAAGTGCAGACGTCAATGAAATAAGTTTTTTTTTTGTGCTTAATTTTGAGTTTCTTGATTGTTTTTATATAATTCGATAATGAGTTTGCCAATTCTCTTCAATTATTACTTAATAATTGCTTTGTTTACTTTGTGTATAATTTTTGCGGTCACTGTGAGTGCTAGACGTACATTTAATCCAGTTACTCCGCCGCCACCACGTTGGGGTGCCAATAAACATATGCTAAGGCTGCAGAATAGTATGTGGTAACTATGAGTCTAAATATAATACAGAAGTAAACAATATTTTTGATGGATTTTCTCCCGAAAAGGCCCAGCTTTTCAATTCTGGACTGAAGACAGTGACACAAATATTTGGGAACACAGTGGATTGTTTGAAGGTGATATTATGATATACCGTGAATTGCTGCGAAACGGATTATTGAACGATAAAATGACTTGGCCAGATGCTACGGTACCATTCTATATCGACAAAACAGATTTTAGTAAGTATTCTAAACGATTTCAAAGCCAACTAATATATTGTATTAGTTAATAAATGGTCAAAGAACACTAAACGAATTGAAGATCGACATCTACCAGGAAATAGCCACCATAGCAAACGAAACGTTGTCAAAAACGATCGGTTCAGAAACTTATGTGATCAAATCTTCTAAAACCAAGTTAAATGCCAACCCTATATTATTTATCATTTGTATTTCTGAAATACCTGAATATGTATTAAAATGTTTAACATGCGTGAGGAACATAACTTTATAGCGAAGATTAATTGAATCTGTAAAAGACATGACATGCTGTTATCTACCAAATTCTAGTCAATCCATATCTGGGTTTACCGTACTGTCGATTACAAACATATAGCAGCTATTGAAAAATATTTTGAGCTTGATTTGGTTTAATCTTAGAGATAAACCATAAGACGGTTTTACATATTATAAAATCAAAACTTTTGAGATTGCTTGAGTACGTCATACGTACGAATAATGACAAAGGATTAAAGAAAATCTTGAAAGACGAGAAATACAGATTTTGAGTAAACCGTAAAACCGCTAGTTAAAATTGTCCGAAACTATGAATCCAAAACAATGGATCATTTTATATGATTTGATTCACCGAGGGTGGAGTGGATTATCGTAGTTGCCGATTTATTAAATTGCCATTCGACACACTAAGATCAAATTGGTATATTTCTGTTTATAATATAACATATATATTTCTGTATATATGGTAATTGGTATATTTCTGTATATATAATACTACGGAACCCTTAAAAATGTTTTCTCTTAGTAATAAAGCATTGGGTGTTGTTAATTTGCCAGTCGACACACTGACGTCACATTGGTTCATTGTGATATCACAAAACCATTAAAAACGTTATCCCTTAAGTGTTAAGCTATCTTGTCAATGTAACAAAGTATCGTAGCATTGGTAGTTAAACGCTGAGAACTGAGTCCTCTAACTAAAGCCTATAACTGAGAATTTTGAAGATATGAAAAACGCATTTCTCACTATGAATAAGAGTGTGGTCTAGGGCCGATGATTATAGTCTTTATAAAAAAAATTTTTATAAATTACTTTTTTATATTTAATTTTAATTATATTTTAATATATTAATTTCTCACAATTAGCACAATTGAAAGTGTTCTTCTTCTTAATCGTAATAAATTCAATATTTTACAATATTACAAATTCTTTCAGATTCCACCCAAATGATGGCTATTTTAAAGGCATTTAAAGAATATCACGAAGAGACTTGCATACGCTTCCGACCATATGAAAAAGGTGACAAAAATTGGATAATGATTAAAGGGAACTATTCCGGTTGTTGGTCAAGTGTTGGCCGGAGACAAGGTGGACAGGTATATTACAAATTGAAAAATTTAGTATATATCATTATTTCAATAAAAAAAAAATAATTGCATACTTTAAGATTCTGAATTTGAATACACCAAAATGTGTAACACATGGCGTTATAGTGCATGAGTTGCTCCACGCTTTGGGTTTCTATCATCAACAGAGTGCAACAGAACGAGATGAATATGTCAAAATAAATTGGGAGAACATCATCGATGGACACGCACATAATTTTAACAAATATGCACGTACACACATAACAAACTTTGGTGTTGAATATGACTACAAAAGTGTTATGCATTATAGTTCAAAAGCATTTACAAAGAATGGTAGAAATACCATTGAACCTCTGGTGAGACAATAATTTATTACTTTAAAAATATACACATAAAAATTATTTTTATATTTAATTATGATTGAAAGGATCCATATGCTAGTTTGGGTCAACGCAAGGGTCTTTCAGAAAAAGATATATCCAAATTGAATGAAATGTATGAAGAAGACTGTAATGAGGACTTTCTGTTTGGGTTCGATAAATTTAGCTCATATGTGGATGAACTTTTAGGATATTTTGGCAATGAAGTAGGAGATTTTTGATATATTCTTTAAAAATAAAACTATAGTTAAAATTGTATATTAATTAAATAATTAATTTTCTTTTATTCGATTTGTATAGAATATGACTTTAGCATATTCTCTAACATGCTTAGAGCTTATAATCAACTCTATAAGAAGTTATTTGATTTGTTGATTTCCGTCAGAAATTACGTGAACATAAAGTAAAAATTGTCTTAGATCCTCCGAAGCCTTTTAAGACAAACATATTTATAAGTCCCTTTCTTGTCGATTTGATGATAAATGTTTTTTTTTTTAATAAAATGAAAACTGTCTTAGTTCTTCCAGCGTACTTTCAGCTTCCTGTAATAAAAAAAAATATTAATACACATATTAAGTTATTTTAAATTCAAACTTATTTACATTTTTCACTTCAGAATTCTTGTCTTCCGCCAAATTTTCAATTGCTCTTTTAATATCAATGCTCCAAATATTCTGCAATCCTCGTAAACTAAATCTGACTAACAAACGGAATAGCATGCACATCCGCAAACGTAGCAAGTCACTTTTATTATTAAGCAAACTCAATAAATTTACTTTACTATTGAAAATAACTCTTTCAACTAAGTCTGCATTTTCCGGAAGCTCTCTCAGAACACAACAAAATAATGCTGAAATTTTTATGTAAAAATACTCATTTAGGTCAAACTATATTATAACGGTGATTCTAGATAAACGCTGAAATCTGCAATTCCATTATATTGCCATATAAAACTCAAAGGCTTTTCAACCCACAACAAAGCGTAAAATATTTTTTAAGGGCACGATAAGATTTCTTTAGAAATCTTGTAAAAGCTCTTAGCATATTTTTTCTACTACATCAGCTCTGCTAGCATAGTTCTCAAACCGACAATGATCCGTCAACAAGCTCACTATTACATTTACCTCCTTATGGGAGATATCAATGAGTTCGCTAGATATTTTTCTATTTAGATAAATAAATATACAATTACAACCAGTCACATGAAAAACAAGATCACTTAGATTCTACATCAGCCACTATAACGCCAGAGATGTTTTTAATTTAAATAGCTAACTATACAATTGCGCCCTATTCTAGCCAGGTAAACCAATGCAGAACAATGGTATGACAATGAAGAAACGAAAAATGTTTTTAATGCATACGTTGATGATATTTGCTAAACAATTGAGAAAGTAACAACCTAATATGTTTTTGCTAATACCAGATAATGACAGAGCACATGTCTAAAACTTTGCTCCCCCTCCTTCAACTTCATTGATAGAAATTGCTAGTGAGCATTCCCATTTATTAGGCACACTCTAGTTTCATTACAGTAACGATATTAGACAATGGGAAGAGATCAAGAGCAGCTAGTTTGTTCTTCGGTGTTTGACGATAACACACGTATTGCGTGTGAATTGAAATATGTTTTTATTGTCATTTTTGGTTCATCACCAAAGTGTTTGGTTTTCATAGCCAGTTTAATCGAAACTAGAGCAAAGTGGATACTACTGGTAGTCTGATGGATATGTTAGTCAGCCAAGTGTCACTTTGGGTCTATTTATCGGCTTAACAGTTACCAAGGAATCAACGACCGATTGTGGGCTATAACAGAACAAAAAAGGCAATTGAACAAATCGTAGAAGGAAAGTATGTGTGGTTGGACCACACTCTATGCAAACCCTTTGGTGAAATCGTACATGCCACTATAGAATGGAATCCGCAAGGAAGAAAAAATTCCGACCAAATCGGTTGCCAAATAAATGAAACTTCTTTACATTGTGTTTAAAAGTTCAAGATTTACCATTTTAGACAAATCTAGAGAATCGTGCCAAAACGTAATCCTCATTTACAGCTTATTTGTTTCTTACAGTTGTAGAGAACACTAAAACCTTTTTAGATGTATTTTTTCCCCAGCTAAGTTTTAAATCAAGCATAAATTTAAGATAGTTCACCTGATTGAAAAGTTCAAATTGAACATTATTTAGTTTCGAGAAAGCGAAAGGGAGTATTTTGTGTTTGTAAGTATATGGTAGCAGTCCAGTCTCAATCTTAATTATAGCTAACCAGTCGGACACTTTCTGGTTTTATTAGCGAGAAATTATGTGTAAATTTTAAATTGATATATTTACGACAACATATAGGACGGCCATCGGAGACCTGCCAGTGTCAGCTCTAACTCCTGCACATATCACTATTCAAAGCCAAACTAAGGGCTTCCTGCTGTTTTGACAGAAGGAATATAATTAATTATGGTGGCTTATCTTATGCTTTAGAGCTCTGTTGACTGAGACCTGATGATAAGAGTCACAATCGCAGCCCAGTATCATGAGAATACTTAACCTAATTGCTTCGTTACAGCACCCCGATTAATGTATTTGCATTGTAGACAACTGTGGTTACAAACCGTATAGCTTCACATAATCCAAATCGATTTAGAAAACTGTTACAATTTGTTGATTGTTATATGCATTATTGAAAGTATTTGTTATAATAACGCAATATATTCTTTACTAAAAAATTCACGCTAGGTTTATCTCGATTTGGAACAGGCGGTTTAAAGAGAATGCCCTTTTTTTATAAGACAAAACCATCAGACTTTGCTAGGAATGAGTGAACTATCTGAGCTTCAACAACATATACATATAAATTTAAAAACTATGTTTAATATATAAATATTAGTCTAAAAATTGTGACGACTTAGCTAACTGACTTAAATATATTTACTAAAGCACTATTGACTAATTCTCTACTCACATAATATACAATTAGATACTCGCACCGCATTTGGTTGTTTAAAATCTGCAAAACATTAGATTTAATATAAGATTAAAACATATTTTAAAAATATATACGAAGTATAAACTATTTAACACTCACCATGATTAAGAAAGTTTATAAAAAGTTCATCAGCAGCTAAAATAACAACAGAATCGCAAAATTGTGATACAAACTGCAATTTAAGGTGAACTAAATGACACACAAGCTCATAAATTCTGGAAACTGTGCGTAATTCTTCAATGCTTAGCTCACTAACTGCTTTTACAGGTCGCGTAGTGCATGATGAGGCAGTCGAGTCATTAATACTTTTGTGGCTCACCAAAAGTTTGGAAGCATACATTAAATTAGGCACTAATTTCACATCAGTATAAACCTATAATAAATCGAAATCAGATTGGATATTAAGAGTATTTTTACAGAAAATATGCATTAAACTTACAGCTTTGATTGTTTCAAGCACACTGGCAGGTTCACCAATTGCAAATGGCAGTGACAAAAGTTGTGCAACACATTCAATCACCTTTGGTATAGCTTTGGAATTTCGCAAAGGCGCAACAATTATACTAACCTAGAATTTAAAGAAAATTATTATGAAATATTATTAAAAAATAAAATAAATATTGCGTTTAAATAAGTTGCTTTATATGAACAACAAAAACAAAAGCTTTATTTATACAAGCCTATATTTTTAAACTTTGAAGTGTTTAAGATCTTCTGGAGCTCTTGATAAAGCATTAATGCTATTAAAGAAGATTGTCTGCAGCAGACTTATGCAGTAAAGTTGTAGATGTTAGAGAATAACTCCCTAGTATACTAAATTGATGACGCGCAATCGCTTCATTCGTGGAAGAATTTTTTGAATACTAATATATATTTTCATGCACTCGGATAGCAATAGCTCTAGAAACGAAAATGGAATTCATATACTTACCAAATTATGTTGCTTAAGTGAATCCAATTCACCATCAAGCACTTCTTGCATTGAGCGATTTAGAAATGCTAACCACTCATCGTTTTCAATTGGTGGACTCTGAGATTCATCACACGAATCCCAACCAGGCAGTAAACATGGTGGTGAATTTCTAAAAAAAAATTATTTTTTGTTATTTTTTAATTATTCATTTTCAAGCTGAAGTAATACATACTCTGTAATATGCTTTTCATCTGCCGATTGAGTAGGAGTTTTCAAAACACTTTGTGATGATTTCTGTTCTTTTTTGTGTGTCAACATTTCAGTAGTTTTACGTTGTGTTTCTGTGTCAATACTATGACCTAAACGTAATGAAAAATTGTCTAAATTTTGACTCAATTTACGTTTTTCCAAATCTTTGCTGCGAGTTTTCTTAAGATTCACATTTAATTGTGAATTAGATTTTGTACTTTGCTCTGTACCATTATCATTATTGGTTTGACTTGTATTGCCAGCAACAATTGGAAAATTATCATTCAAATGATTAAGTATCATATTTGAATTTCCACTGACAAAGCAAGTTTGTGAGTTAACAGCAGGAATTGCTGTCGGTATACCCACTGTTGCCATAGCTGTAACCATATTTAACATTTGTGTTTTATCAAAATTTTTTTGTGCTATATTATCGGTGAAAGAGTTATTAGCAAACGGCACCACTAATGGATTTATATTATCCTCTGCATCAGTCTCTAGGTTTTCAATATCACTTGGTGGTATAGCATTGATGCTATCACACGATGATGTTAAATTGTCAGTCGTCATGTTAGAAGAAACATTGACTAATTTCATTTCAGCCAAATTTTCATTAAGTGTATCAGATTTGTAACTAGTATAATAAATAATATAATTTATTTATAAGTTCTATTAATGCTTAAAAATTACCAACCTATCTTTGATGCTCTGTTTAGAAGTGGTAATTTTTTTCGGATTTATAAAAGGCGAGTTATCCGCTTTTATACCATTTATTAAAAGTTTACCTTCTACAAATGGATTGCAAAGTATTTGTGCCCAAGTAAAACGTAATGTTGGATCTTTTTCAAGTAGACCCTATTATATATATTTTAAATAAAATTTTATGTTAAAAATAATTAAGACATTTTTATTGTTCACCTGTAAAAATGAGCGACATTCACTTGTTAGAAAACTAGGCCATTTCACATCTTCGTGTTTGATTAACTTTACCAAGTGTAAAATAGATGTGGTACAAAAAGGTGGTTGTCCAGCCATGGTTTCAAATGATATACATCCAAGTGACCATAAATCAGCTTGATAGTCATATGGACGTTCTGCTAACAATTCTGGTGCCATATACAGTGGTGTTCCTTTAATAGATGTTAACACATGTGTACCCATAGTCATATTACGTGCTAAACCAAAATCACATAGTTTTGCATGTAGCACCTCATTTAAGAGCACATTTTGTGGTTTCAAATCACGATGCAGAATGCGATTCGAATGTAAATAATATAAAGCAGATACCAAATGACAAGTTAATTTCTGTGCACGTTCCTCGATTAATGAACCATTACGTGCCAAAAAACGATGTAAATCAGTGAGAGCAAACTCAGTCACTACGATGAGATCATGATTTGTTTCAAATGATTCAAACATTTCAATAACATTTGGATGCTTCAGTTTTGCTTGTATATCACATTCTCGAGTGAGATTCTTTAATTCTTTTGTGGTACGTCCACGCTAACGAATTGGAAAGCAATTTTTTAAAATTATAACGGTTAATATATTTATGTGTTAGTATCTTACCTTCGATATTATTTTAATGGCAACTACTTTATTATCATCTTTACGAAATGCTTTGTAAACGCGACCAAAAGATCCCTCACCAATTAACGAATTTACAGAATAGCAATGCATTTTTATTTATAATTTTCTTTATACACGACATAAAATTATTTTAATTTAAAAAAGTAGCTATTTTTTGCCATTAACTTCAATAATATAAACAAAACACTAACAAACAAAACAAACTGTAAACGAAAACCTGCGGCGTCGCATTTCATACAATGTCAGCTGTGGTTAGTGTTGCCGTTGTGCCGCAATAAAAAAAACGTAGTAACTCGAAGATTCCATACAAAGTAGACTCTGTTTAATATATAACGTATGACTACGTAATGTATGCATTTACATTTATATTAAAAACATTAAAATTATTTAATTTTATTTTTAATTAAACTAGCAAATACATATATTATTATTTCAATTTATTTAATATATCCTTAAGTAAAAAAACATATTTATATATATTTAAGTAATTTTGTTTCAAAATGTAAATATTTGCAACCTTGTGATGACCTTTTACTAAAACTAATTGAAATTTATTAAATATTCTTAACCACGTCACACTGTGCCGGTCGTCTTCTATGGATAGTAGTTCTAAATTAATTCGCTTAAGTGTTTTATATTTTAATCTATTGTTATTAAATTAATTTTGTTATTAAAAAATTAACTAAATTTAATTTTATTTAATAAATAAATGCTTTTTGGTTGTAAATTTGTTTAATAACTAACAGATCAGCCGGTAAATTTACAAAAATTAATTATATCTCCACCGAAAATCAAGGTAATTATTTCATCATTTAAATTGTTTTCAAATGTTAATTTATCATTTTTTTATATATTATATAAAAAAGTAAATTGAATAGTAAATTTTCATGTAATATTCATGACTCAAACAGTTTGTTACAATATCACAGAGTTCAACTGCTACGACTTGGAAGGAAATTAATTATTTCCTACTGGGAAAGAATAATTAAAAAATTATCTAAAATGAATTTCTTTATCGAAAAAGTATCACACAATCAAAAAAAGTTTTTTTTAATTTATCCTTAAAGATATACTTAGTTTTCTTATATGTTGTATTATATATACTTATATATATTAAAAGATGATATATTTACAATTATACTTGTTTTTCGATAGGAGTACCGTCAAATTATTAATTAATTACATTGTATAATATAGTACTTTATAAGATTATTAACATACGTGAAGTAAGTAAGATGTGTAAAAAAGGATATAAAAAGGGATAAGTAAAAAAAAATAAAAAAAGCAATTACGATTATTAATTATTATTTGGAAGATAAGATGTAAGATGTACATATGTAAGATAGAAAATAAAATGTATATGGAGTGCTGGTTTCCGACGAAGTGGAGCACATCAATTGTGATTGATTTTTTTCTACCGAACCGAACTGAACAGAATACACTCCGCACTTCGAGTGAAAAACAAAACATCGGCTATGTATGCCTTGCCACAGAAAATATTACTAGAGGTCTCTTACGCTTCCAAGCAGAGTCGAAATTCTGCTTCTTTAGACAGAGCCTTTCTTTCAAAATAACGACTCCACTCCACCCTTTAAACAAAAGTCAAAATATAAGTTGTAAGGTACATCCTAACATTAAAAAGGAATAGGAACTGCCAACTTTGTAATCTCCTCCTGCCCCTAATCAAAACTAAAGAGTCACAGACAAAGATGGCATTACATTTCATATACAAACCCATGGTTTTATCGTCAGTTAGGTTCTACTGAGGAGTGGCGGACTACCATAGTTGACCGCATGATCGAGCTCTTTGGTCTGGCAGTTATCAATAATATATACATATAGTAATACACCTCTTGTATATTGCACACATTTCTGAGGAACATTTCTGTGATGTAAAAAAAAATTCAGTATATATATATATAGAATAAATAATTGCACCTATGTGAAATGCGTGGGCGTAGTTAAGGTGGTATATGAGTTAAAAATACTCCTAAATATGTATATAGCAAAGTGATCATCTACACAACTAGTTTAAAATTTTATAAAATATTATTTATTTTATAAAATTTTAAACTATTTTTAATTTTTTATTTTATTGTTTTAAAAATATTATATGTCGGGTCTGAATATTACATACGCACATCAATCGCTTTTACATTAACATCATCTTTGTATTTATACCAAAAACTCGAACCGACATTTTTACCGAAACGACAAGCAGAACTGAACCGAAATAAATATATTGACTTATTTGGGTACAGCATCGTACATAAGGTACCTGCTTATTCTTCAATAAAATGTTTATGAATAAAATCTAAAAAATTGAAAACAATATTTATTTAAAGTAAAAATTTTCTCATTCGACGTATTTCATTTTTATTCAACCGAAACGAAAAAAATCGTTTCAAATCCCTTTATTAAACTATCATATATTATCTCTGAAGCAAATATATATTATTATTATTGTCAAATTATGTATTTAATTTTAATAATATTTCCTGAAAGTTAGACAACAGTTGAAGATATTTATTTTCGCAAAAGCTGTATTAAAATAATTGTAAAACCGACATCAATTTTAATGTTGAATATTTAATTTATAGTTTTTTAACAAGATAATAGATAAAATTAGTGCATTTTTATAGCACTTATGTGCTTTTTATGGTGCCAATAATAAATTGACATAAAATTAGTGCAGTTATAGCACTTATGTGCTTTGTTATAGTGACAATAATAAATTAAAATATTTTTTAATATTACATTTAATATTACATTAATATTACATTATATACATTCTGTATATTCGTAAATCAGTACAATTTTTGCAGTTATTCACAGCAAAAATACATGAAAAATGTATATAGACGTATTGAAATGATGATTGTTATTGATTGTTATTATCAGTTGATTATCGTCATCACAGAAAATCTTATAAATTAATGAATTTTCTTTATAAAATGCTGTGCTTGTTTTCAAAAATAAAAAAGTCCCCGTTCTCTATAAGATTCTCTTTGATCATTATAATTAGATGACTTAGTGGAAGTTGTTTGACTTTCAGAACTTTTTTCTATTTTTCACATGCCTATCGAAATTTTTGTTGCTTTTTAGAGACATTTTTATTTAAGCATTAATTAAAAGCATTCAAATTGTTTAAAAAATATCATATTAAGATTATAATCAATTGTTTTTATTAATATTATTTATTAACCTAGGAAATGACTATATTGAGTTTCAGACAAATATTTGAACAGTGCTGCATACATAACAGCATTGCTCTCGATAATACTTCAGATTAGAGTGATTGTTTTACTATTTAACTTATTTGTTATCTGTTTACGCTGTTGATAATATAAAATTGATAAAACGAAATTAGTAAAGCAGAACTAATACTTTTTCAAATCATTCATTTACTTTCAGTTACTAAGCATAGAACCACATAATGAGTCTAACAGATATTTCTACACACTTCACTGAGTCAACGCTCGATGCTATAATACAAAAAGCTGGAGGCACCAAACATACTTCCTTTAAGTTTGGTAAGGGTTTTAAAAAAGGTGATTCATATCTTTCGAAGGTCTTTCGGCTGTGTGTCTATGGTGTTAACGAAGGCAATGGGTAAACCGACATACTATTTAATAAAAGTTTATTTTATATATCAAAATATGTTATCTTTGCAGATCAACAATTGAAGTTAATTTGATTGTAAAGGCAATGCCCGATAATCTTGCTAGACGTAAACTTTTTCGTTCGGTAGTTTTCTTCCGAAATGAAATTAATTTTTATACTCATATTGTACCTGCTTGGGAGGAATTCCAAGCTAAACGAAATCCTACAAATCCCTTCACTGAATATCCTATTTGTTATGCTACACATTGCGATGGAGAAAATGACTTTGTTGCTTTGGAAGATGTGAGCTTCTCCGGATATGGTTCACCAAATAGGTAAAAAGTATTATAATTTAATACTTAAGCAATTAATATATTCGATTTTTCTTCAACTTTTGCAGAATGAACTATATAACTTTGGAGGAGTGTTTATTAACAATGCGTACACTGGGACGCTTCCACGGTATTACATTAGCATTAAAAGCTTTAGATCCACAAAAATTTGAAGAGACTTCAAAACATTTAGAAGTATGATTTGTTTTTGTCTATTTAAAAATAAGTGATAAAATTAAATATATCTAATTCTTACACAGGAAACCTATTACGATGAGAAGTATCGTAACTGGTACGTAGGGTTTCTAAAACTTGCTTGTAATGTTGCCAACGATGCTGTTTCGAAAACATATCCAGAATCCAAATATGAAACAATTGCTAATAAATTTTTACAACCAAAACTTTACGATGATCTAATTAGTCTAGTATCCACAAAAAGTACGTATACTCTTATTCAAAAGTAACATTTTAATAAGGCACCATACTTCAATAATATTAATGAGTCCTTCAAAATGTTCGAGCATGCGATTTTGAAGCAAATCAAGTGTACTCAAATTCTAATATTTGGATCGAAGACTTTAAACATTCGAAAATGGTTAAAGTGCTCGATAAATTCTAATATTTGGATCGAAGACTTTAAACATTCGAAAATGGTTAAAGTGCTCGAAAATGGATAAAGCTACTCGAAGCGCCCACATGCTGTGCTCCAATCTAAACATACTCGAACATTAAAATACTCGGATTTCATTTTATCGAAATCTTCGAGGATTTTAGTATGAATCACTGTACTCCAACCCAACCATATTCGAACATCAAACTGCTCGAAGATTCGATTAGCTCGAATAATATTGATATAATATTTAAAAATATAAATTAATTTATTTACAATATTTTGTCTAGGTAAATTAAGCGTTTTTGGACATGGGGACTGCTGGACACCAAACTTCTTAACTTCATACACAAAAGATGGTAAGCCCGAAGCAATTAAAATCATCGACTTTCAGTTAGCGCGTTGCGGTTCACTAGCTTTGGATATATCATTCTTTATTTATTCGTGTACTAGTGAAGAGTTACGTGATAACTATTATCTGGAGTTACTTGAGGTACGTATTTATATTAACATTTATTTTTTAAGTAAATTTTTATTAACAATTATATTTTTAACATAACTTCAGGCTTATCATAAAAGTGCTAGTGCCATAATTGCTGATTTAGGCGCCGATCCGGAAGCCGTATTATCCTGGCAAGCATTACTAAATGAATTGCAAAATTTTGCACGTTTTGGTTGTGGCATGGGTATTGAATCTCTACCTATGTCTTTAATTGAAGATGATGAAGTTGCCGACTTAGATGAAATTAAAGAGAATGCTGTTCTTACTGATGTTTGGAATATAACGCCATTTAAAGAGGCAAAAAAGCGCGAACGTATAGCACAAATATTAAAACATGCCATTGATCAAGGTTATATTAAGTAGAACTATAAAAATAGCTACAATACTCAACTTTATACATATTTGTATATAAAATTTTTTTTAACACTATTATATATAAAATAAAAGAAATACATTTTCCATTGACTTTTTATATTTTTATTAATCCTTTAAGGCTATTAAGATTCTTAGTTAGTATACTAAATTTTTTGTGAAAATAATTTCACTACAGACACTGTCCTTCGTTTAGAACGCACCATTTTGGTATAACAGCATCTGGTCTTATACCACGAGCAATTAATCGATCTCTGTAGCGATAGAAGCGCGTTTGAGCCAAAATATTCGAGGTTTTCGGATTTGACCATAAACGTTCTGCTGCAGCGCCTGCGCGTGGCCATATTCGAGCCTCTGAAAAGGAAATAAAATCAATTATAATTTTCAATCATTTTTACGCAGATATAACGTATATCCATTTAACGTTTTTCTAATGTATAGCGGTGATTTTTTAAACCTAAGAACGGATAAAATATTTTTGACATTAGTCAAACTGAACAATGTTGAAGAATACATGAAAAGTTGGTCATTATAGAAGAAAATGAAGGAAGCTCGACTCTTGATGGTTCATCTGAATCGCATTTAATAAGATTGGAGTCCGGAAAGGAGGGAAAAGTTTTCAGCAGTAGTTATTCGACATTTTCAATTACTTTTTTTAAGCTTTTTAAACTAAATAATTAAAAACATAAAACTCTAATAAACATACAATAATACGTACCAACGGAGTTTTGATCTACATATTCGCTCCACATGCAAACTTCTCCACCTAACACTTTTGTGTTAGGTTCAATTCGATTATTATATACTGTCGCCCAATTATAGTATGGTGTACGACCCCAGAAACCATGATCCAAATACCAAGCATTTTTAGTTGAAAGAATAATATTATAACCTCTTTTCATTAAATCCTGATTTATGGTATCATCCGCATCAACCCATGTTTGTATAATAAAACGTTCCTTAGGTAAAAATTCTTCAATTATATTTGGTTCAGTTAAATGACTTGACCATACAATCACCGATTTTGGTGTTTGCAAACGTGGATATTGTCGCTGATTGACATCATCCCATGATTCTAAATTTTTTAAATGGAAATTTGACCACAACTTAAAAAAGCTTTTCATGCTCAAATCATAGCCGGTATCAATCATTTTTTGTGTTATCTCCTTTGTATTATTCCAACAAGGTATGTAAACCTCATCACCACCCATATGTATGGTTTCTTCAGGAGCTCCAACTTCAGCAATATCTTCATAAATCTCTTTCATTATCGAATACATATTATCATTTAATGGATTCAATTGACCACAAGGTGGTTGCACACAATATTGACGCCATGGTGTATTATTTATGCATACAGCTAAGTTACCCATTCCACTCATAGGACCCCATTGCCAACCATTACCAGCATGTGAAGGTCCATCGATTTCTATCAGTACTCGAATGCCACGTAAACGTGCATATTTTATGAGATTTTGGGTATCGGTTCGAGAATATGTATGTTCATTGGAATAAGCACCAAAACTAGTTGCAAAAATATATCAAATATATGAGATATAAAATGTTTTATATGTATGAATACCGTTGCAATTCAGGAACACGTGTAATTTCTAATGGGAAACTGTGTGTATCCACAACATGCCAATGGAATACATTTAGTTTTGATGCAGCCATCGCATCAAGAGTATTACGTATGATACGTAGCGGCATATAATTTCTTGATGTATCCAATAAAACACCTCTATGCGTGAATATGGGTCTATCGATAACTCGAGCAGCTTGAGTCATCAATAATCCATTGCTATTATTGAATTTATGTATGAATAATTAACATATAAATTATACGTAATATCAGTTAAAAAATTTACCTCACACTTCCAGTTATTAAATTTGAAAGGGTCTCAAACGCATGTCTTGCTCCATAAACTGTTACCGACTTTATATCAACGAAAGTTGCGGTAGCTGGAATAAGTAGTATATATTCATTAATTATAAATTTGTATCACATTATTTATAATATTGTATTATTTTTTGCTACATTTTCCTAATTTTAGTTCCTTAAAATGTATACGTTATTTTAACTTAACTGCCACTAAAACAGCACTTCACTTTGGAAATCAATGGATATACAAAAAGTTCTTTAGTGAAGTTTATAATAATAATGGTATAAATTTTATATAACTTATGAGAAACCAGTCTTTTATGGTCTATCACCTGGCTACTATCAACATTAGTATAGATATAACCGTATCTACTCTATAAACACCTCATTGAAGTTTCATTTAGTTAATTAGACTAATGATTAGTTAATGATTAATTAGACCAATGAATGAAAGCGAAAACACAATCCATTTCATAAATAAGTTCTAACGACCAATTGAAACTAGTGTAGGACCGATGCAAGATATATATTAAGAACAGAATTAATAATAAGATATACGAAACCTGAATATTTGATGCAGATTTTAAGAAATGTGAGGAATTGAAATTGCTAAGAAGAATTACTTGTCCAAAAATCCTAGATAATAGCTTTTAAGTTATACGCAAGAACGTGGAACTAACAAATATACAATATTAAGTGACGCCTATTGGTCTGTATATGTAAAGTATTACCAACTGAGGTGGACTAGCCATGTAGATGATAAAAAAATGAATTCCAGTAAGCAAGAATGAGGTAGACAAGCTGGAGGTAAATAGTGTAGGAGTGGATCTACACAAATTTAATGTTCTGAATTAAAAATAAAACGTAAAGTATAAAAAAAAGGGGAAGGGTTTTATTTGAAAAACCAACACTGGCAACTATCTGCACCGTAAAGGAGGGTGATAGTTATTATATTGTGACAAAAACTATCCTATATTAAGATATATCATTCTCCACTCGAAACGCATATATAAATGATATTAATGTCCTTAAATGGAATTTTATAGAATTTGAAAATATCTCGCCCCTGAAAAATACAAAAAAAAATTTATCACCTTGCTCAATTCAGCTGAAGCATGTATATTAAAATAAACAATATTCAATTTTCCAGCTGACTGCACTGAAAGAAATGAAGAAAATAAAATAAAGATAATAATAGGCAATAAAAAATGTGTCTGCTAATTTTAGAAAGAGAAGCAAAAAATTAGAAAATAATTTCATAAAAATTTTTGTTTTTACTATAAAAATTTGTTATATAGACAACATTAATAATATTTTTTAATAATAATATATTTAAGACATAATTAATTATTCTTTTCACTTACCTGTTGTACGTATACTTAATGTATACGACTCATCTGTGTTCCAATCCAAACTAAGACTAGTTGAGTTAATCGTGGCTTTCACGAGTATCTCTTTTCCCTTGTCAAGCGTACAGTTTCGTACGCATTCCTTTAAAATATTACTAACGAATATACGATTTGTTTCACGTATAAACTGTGTTGTTGCAGCAGTTGGCGCAACAACATTGAAACGTACTTTCCACGGATCGAAACGGACTCTCTCATTTGATATACTGCAGTCTCCAGTCGGCATAGGCCATATGGCTCCATATCGACCACATGACAATCGGCAATCATGTTGACTTTCAAATCGAATTGCATCTCCAATATTCGATGCTGGGTCCAGTATACATAGGTCTAGAGATGTGCAAGCCCATTTATTGCTAAAATGGTTTAATTCTTTATAAAATGAAACTTTTTGAATTTTAAACTACAAACCTATCTCCATCGCCTCTTATAGAATGACATAGGAGAATTATTTGAAAAAAAATTAAAAATTTTATGGATTGCATTTTAAAGTCTTGTAATTATTTTTAAGCATACCACTCTGTAAATTTTTTTTTGTTATTATAGTTTTTATTAACGTTAATCTTTTATTAACTTTAATTAAGGTTAAAAGTTTAACTTGTTATTCATTGCTAAAATTAAGAACCATAGAAAGTTTTTCACATGAATGTATATAGAATTTGTGTACAAAAATAGAATATACCAATCAATTTTTTTAATATAATCAAAAATCATATCATATTTATTAGATCATATTTTAATCACATTTCTCAGACGATATCACATGACAGTGCGTATGTTAAATATTGGAATCTACCAGGTGAAATCTATACAAACTCAAATGAGGTAAACATTAAATGTTATAGAAGACGTCGAATGATATCAAACAGCGCTTTGATCAGTATTAAAAAATTAAAAATCAAATTTAGTAAATTTAATCAATATACCTATACAATTAGTTCGCATTATAATATATATAGTTAAGTTGAAACTGTATCGAATTCTACGTTGAGCATCTATTATTAGTAAATAAACTGGATGGTAAAAAAAATGAATAATGGATTAGTATGAAAAAGCACGAGAAAAAGATACTAACAAATATATATAATTATATAAACTCGAAGTTATAGCAGAGTATTTTAAATGGTTCCTTTATATGGACTATAAAACAAGGCCCACATAATTGAACAATAACAAGCTTTAATTAATTATTATTTTACACGCTGAGAATTTTTTATCTAGAGACAATAAATGAAAGAGTTCTAAAAGAAAATTATATACAAGCTGAGAATCAAGAAAAAAAAAGCTGCAAAAAGATTTTTCATAACGCCTCAATATCTTAAAAACAACATATTAATAACTAATATTCTATACTAGCAGTCACATCAGCAGGCAACATCTTGATGGGCTGAAGTTTCCCGAAATGACTTGAAGAACCTTATTTCCATGTATAAGCATCTTTATTTATTATTAATGCATTATAACTATTTAATTAATAAAAGCACTTCTTTCAAGTTACTGGAACTATTTGCAAGCACTACCATTCCTGATTGTAAACCGATGTTACGCAGTTACATACTCGACCACACCATAATAGATGTCCGGTATGTCATAATTGTGGAAATATCTACACCGATTCCGATTGTGAGCCGATAGCATCCAGTTGAAAGGAGTAACAAGTCTTATATATGATATATATGTATGACATATATAATGAATAAACAGTAACACAAAAAATAACTTTACTAATTGACAATAACAATGGTCCCACTTCTAGCAATACTCTTTCTCCACAATAAAGATATTTATTTCACTTTCTGGCATCAACAATAACTGTAGTTTTTTTTATGTTTAAAACCACTTGTTTACTTAAAAAAATGTTTTTATTCTTCTATAAACCATACTTTTATAGATGATAATACATAAAATATTTACAATTACATAAATAAAACAGGAGTACGACGTATGATACATAACCTCCTTTTAGCCACACTATCTCTTTACCAGATGCGAACAGTTTGTTTTCAAGAAAATGTGAAAAGTACCACTCTTATCCAAAGATGACGAATGTGTAGCTAAAACTTAGTTATTAAAATATATACACACCAAAAATATTAAAATTTGGGAACTCCCGTTTGTATATTTACAATGTTTTCCTAATCATTTCACTTCCTTTTATTTAATTTGAACAGGCAATAATACCTCTTTTTAAAATCTGGAAAACTGGGAAAAATACAGACTACTTTTATCATTTGAGCAAAGTGAAGACTTAGATTAATTTTCTAACTGGAGATATAGTAAATAAGATAAAATGATCACAATGTGTGAATTCAAAAATAAAAACAATCAATTCCGTTGTATTCTAAAGCAATAACCCAATCTATATCAATACTGGGTCAATTATTCAACTTAACCGCTTATAAAATGCATGAATTTGATACATCTAAATCTATATAATTTTATGAAGTTCGTATGTACGTAGAAGCAGCAGATATAAATTTTAAGACATAAACAAGTTTTAGTAAAACTTTTACCATTGTTAATGTATAACATAATTTAAAAACTATTTATAACGTTGAAGAGAAGGGTTTCTTCTGACCATTAACGAGTAATTTGAAAAAAAAATATGAAAAAGGAGGCCTACAGTTCAGCTATATAATCAGTTTCCGTTTATATAGCGGAAGGAAAAAAGCTATTTTAATTTATTGGAGGGTTGCACTCCTAAAAGATTCTAGTTCAATTGTCTTCATTTCAATAATTTGCTAGCCAAGCAAAAAGGAATGAATGATAAATGAATTAATGATTTGATCCAAAGACTAAATAGTGTTGTGTTCTGATAACACAATTTTGTCGGGACTTTGTTTAATAATACAATATCATTTATTATCACAAAGCAGATTGGGTTAAAAACCAGTTAGGCATTATAATCGTCGGTTAATCAGGGGATCATATAATCATCGGTTCGTCGGTTACCCTTAGCGACAGACTCTTGTTTGTTGTTGCTTTCAATTTATTGATTTATCATGAAAACAACAACAAATGCGGTGCTCGATCATCATTTGATTATCTGCCTTACATGACCCTTAAAAATAGAGAATAGAACACAGAAACTAAGACCTTTCAATATGCTGGATGTGGAAATAATTTATAATGATATTCTTCAAATCTCACCATGGTGGTCACGAATGTACGTGCAACTAACAACATTCTCATAGTGGGTGAGCAGTTATCTGTTGGCCAAATAGGAACATTTTTTCTTTAAAATATTACTTAAAGAGGTTTTCGAAATGTAGTGAACTACAACAACAAATTTTTTTTTATATTATTTTAATTGATTTTTTGACTGCTGTTTCAAATATTGCCAAATACCCATCGTCTTGTGGTCTTGGAATTATTTCTTATATTTAATTATTCATAAGTAATTTTTTGGGATTGAACTCGTGCCCTGCCAAATTTGAAGCTCAGAGTCAGCGCTTCTTAACCAACTGACCTAAAGCGTACTTTACTTTTATGTTCGCACATTTTTCAGAAGTTTTGCTAATTTGCTGTGAAAGTTTTATTAACAAATTCACTTGCTGTGTTTATATTAGAACGAAATCATAAATGATTTATTACTTAATTATTGAAATGTTCCAATAAGGCTATAAGGCTCTTTTTCTTTATGTGCAGTCAAAACATCATTTTGGATAAAAAAATAAAAATAATTTGTTTAGTAAAAGTGTGACAATATTTTTTTTTGGCCACTTTCATTTCTTTTTCCCTAAGGACATGTTATAATTTTTAATTTTTTTTTAAATTTTGTTTTTGTAAATCATACGCACGCATTAAGCGCTGTTATCTATTTGAACAATAAACCGGAACAGATGATAGGAGAGAAAAGGTTCCAAGAACGGCCGGGTCTACGTCCCGGAGCCACTCGTCAAAGACGACCAAGTGCCGTTCGACCACCCCCAAAGGGACTACTGTTGCTTTCAGGTCCCGGCGGGTTACAACAACAACAACAACATAGGAGAGAAAAAAAATTTGCCACCAAAGAGTAACAACAACGTAGTGCTCCTTTTAAACAGTAAGGCAAACCATTTTTTTAGGATAGTTTGAAAAAGTGGAAGACTTTGTTGAGAAATACATAAAATGATATGATTTTCTATGCTTTTCTAAAAAACTTATTGATTTTCCCTCGTATATTTTCAGTAATTAGCGCAAAAATTAACACATCCCGAAAGACTAGATTAGAAATAATGGCATTGCACTTAATTTTTTTGTCCAAATCACGACCATAATGCACTTTTCACTTGTTTCTCTGTATATATTTTTTTTAAACATTTTTTTTTGTTCTTTATTAAATAATGTATTCAATAGTTCTATGTTGCTATTCATATTCTTTATTTCCCTAAATCTATTTTTTATTATATTTTAATTTACAAATTATCTTAATTATTTAACGGTTTTATTGGATTCAATTCACTTGTTTTAGAAACGATCGCACAGATTTATTTTGATCATAAAAACCATGAATGCAATTTTCACTTTCAAAAATTATGAAATTTATTTTATTATTTTTATTATTTTATAGTGAAAATGGACTTTCGAATAATTTCCACATGCATATTCTTCTCTTCCATGCAACACGGTTCACTACTTACGATCGCCCATGCAATTCAGGCCACAACAAAAACTAAACTGAATTCGTATTCAAACCGATCTTATCGCATGTAGCAAAAGTGTCACACAGCACGACGAAGCCCAGAAGAAAGCGCAGAAACGCAATAGTGTTCTGCCCGTGGAAGCACCAAAAAAAAGCAGTCATGATATGGAAGGCACATTTTTCTGCGAACACATATGGG